ACAAAAGCAAAAAAAGTAATTTTTTTAGCCTGGAAACCTTCGTTATCATATTTGAAAAACAACCATCAAGCTAAGCGAATGAATTATCAGAAATTGAGTGCTTGACAAATACAATCGAGCTTGAGACCTTTTTTTCTGTAAAAGTTTTGTTTGACTTTTTCCCAGTAAATAAGTTTTGGTTAAGATAAAAGTGTTTGCGAAAACAACCTTATTTTGTATTTAACCGTAAAAACTTTCCTGTCTTGAATCACTTAGAAGCAAAATTGCCCGAACGTCAGTTTTGAGAACTTTTATGAAAAATTTTTTCGGTCTCACATTGGCGCATCTTGGAAAACTTTCGGGATCGGTGAGCCAAATTTAAGCCCTAAGTTTTGGCCGTCGGGTAGTCGAACCACCACCCCTCCCCTAAATCTACATCCGCACGTGGTTCATTTACAGAAAGGGTGAAATTTTTGAAAAAAAAATTAAAAAAGATATATCTAAGATTGTTTTTTGATTGAAACTCAGACCACACTATAATCATATATTTCGCTTTTTTCAAGTATTAAATGAACCAAAAAGCATACCTTAATTTGATTTTGAACAACATGTACGACGGATTGAATCTCTGCCAGCACGTTAATAGCACGAAATACATTGTCAACCAAAGTTGCAATTTTCAAACGGTCATAATTTCTTTTAAAAAATTACAGAAAAATTATTTTAAATTTGAGCCCAAGAAAACAATTATTTTGGATGATAAAAAAATGCCGTCGAAATTCGCAAAATGTAAAATAGACGTTTGCCTAGAAAAAAATAATCCCGAACTGAAATATTCTTTTACTTTCTTCGAAAGTCGTAACAATAAAAGCTTTCTTTAAAGGACACTTTGTTGTTTCGATTTTCGAAAAAAAAGTGCGGAGAAAATAAAATTTGGGTAATTTTTTGTGTCAATGTTCGAGTTTTCAACAAAAATGTGTGCGTCGGAGGCAAGCTTTTGAAACTCGAGGTCAATTACATCTGTTTGTACTTAAAAACCGAGTGGGGAAATAAATGGAAGAAAAAGGTCTTTTTTTTCTGGATTGTTTATCGTTTTTTCCAGCAAAGCTAGCAAAAAAAAATTTTGAAACATTTTTTGTTTTGAAAACTTGTTAAACAGCATTAAAAGCAGTTGAAACATTGCGGTTTTTGCACTGCTATACAAGGAAACTTCTTCAGTTTTTATGTTTTTTTTAGAAAGGATTAGCATAAATTTTTAGCTGGACTCACAGTGAAAATCCGTAAGGCTTCATAGTTGTTTCTTTCAAGCACACAATACTGTATAACTACTGCCTCACTGCCACTTGAATTTCCATATTAAATCAGAAAATATTAAACTCAACATTAAGGCAGCTCAGTGTGATCGACAAATCACTGTTGATTTTTTGATAAATTGAAGACATACTAGATTGCTACATGGTAAAATCTGCTGCCTTCCTCCTTGTCTCTTGAGACCCGTGCTCAATTTATATCTAAACCATTGATGATAATAAAAATTTGCGTTGTAGGGAAGTTTGGATCATCTCAGAAGGGTACAATCCCATCACAGTGCGTATTCAAAGAAAAGCCTAAGGATTAGTGTGCGCATTGAAAAATTGATGAAACTTTCTTTAAAAAATGAATAGACTTGAGTATTTTTCTGGATTTTTTTGAATATCACCCTTCAAATGCTATTATAAGTGCGAAGCGATTTGTATCGCATCTAACAAAGTGTTTCATAGACTTAAAAGCATGCAACTATTCAAAAAATGGTTTGAGCATTATTGCATTTCTGTAATTGAACTTTAAATTATTACAGAACTATTCGTATTAAAGCAAAGCCTTGCATGTTCCGACTGCAATTTTCAAGTATAATTTTTTTTAATCACCCGTACCGAACGGAAGCTGTTTTTCTAGATAGAAATTCTATGTAGATTATCTAGCCTAGTTTTCTCGTATTTTCCGTGCAGAAGTGATCTATTTCTTTTCTGGTTTAGAAACAAACAGTTTCTAGAAAGAAATAACCAGAAATCAGTTAACTGCTCAACCGCAACGAGATAAACATGCTTCGAGTATACACAATAGCAGTAGCGAATACAATGCAAACTTACACTTTTAATAACATTGTTATTCTCCTAAAACTTGTTACCTCTGTCAAGGGCTGTAGCCTAGTGGATAGAGCAAGTGTAGCAATCAGAAGGGAGAGTGTTCGAGCCCCACCAGCAGACTTTTTTCTAGCTAGAAATAGCCTAGATTTAGCTAATTTCTGATCAGAATTAGGATAAGAAATAAAGTATTTAAAGAAAATCCATGCTTTATTTAAACATTTCAAAAAGAATTTATGACCAGAAATTGGATTAGATACAAAATATTTCAGGTCAGAATTAAAGAATTTTCTCGGTACGGGCATTCAAAAATGGCTGATTGTGCTTGCGATGAGCAAGCGTTATCAATCAGAATATAGACTTTTTCGGGTTACCAACTTGCTTAACATAATCACTTGAATCGCTTAAATGTTGGTTCATATTGAATTCAATTTTTTTGCGTCTTCGGCAGACTTGATCTGGAGGCAACGAATACGCCTGGGAAGGCGAAAACCCTGGCTTCGAATCTAACAGGACCTGTTTTTTTCGAACGTGAAAAATTCCGTTCCGAAAATTTGTCGGCTTATTTTTTGTCTACTTATGTTTTGTTGGCTTAGTTGTCTCATCAAAGAATTGTTTTTTGTCGTTGTACTTAAATTACATTGTAATTACTGTAGGTATTTTGATTTTTCTACTGTTTGTAATTTTAGGAACCTTGACTTCGTAATATTTTCTAACGCTTGAAAAATTTATTCTGCCCAAAAGATTTCGGTTTCCGTTTTGGTGGCTTAGCGTTTTAATTTTTAGCTATTCCAATGGAAATATAGTTTTAATGCGGTCGTCTAGAAAGCACAAAATGTTGAAAATCCTAATAGAAATTACCGATTTTCATTGCAACAGTTTTTTTTGTATTTTTCTTTACTTTTTCTGCTTGATAGGTTTCGGCCTGTATTAATATGGTTTTTTTGCGTCTTTCGACGAGCGAAAAAAAATTTATGTGAGTTTTGGTTTGTGTTTTAAGGGTGAGGAGGACTTGATATATTTTTTATTAATCGTAAACTTTTTGATTTTTTTTTTTCATTTTCCTTTTTCGGCCTCATAGGTTTCGGCTTATTTCATATCTGCATCGTGGCCTCACTTTGCTTCATATGACAAGGTAACAAAGTTTTATGTATTTGTTTTTTGATAGCGAGGAGGTTTTTTATAAGTTTTGGGTTTTGTTGATTTTTTTCGGCTTTGTTACCGCTTGGCTAATTTTTTTCTGATGCTATTTTTATCGCAAGTGCTGCGAAGCTCAGCGCTTCGCCTTTGTGGTAAAAAGTCACCATTTTTCTTGAGAAAAAAAATTCTGTCAGAGCCCAAATATTTCGGCACTTTTTTTGAAATTAGATTGCTGTATTAGTTTGCTTTTTTGCGACATTTGCTTTTTCTCAGCCAGTTTTTTTTATCGAAACTGTTTTTTTATAGTCGCCGGTATACTAATCTCAATACTGAGGTAATGACATGCCATATTGTTATTCCGTTCGATAAAAACAAAGATAGCCGGTTGTTGGTCGAGCAGCACACTATGTTCCGACCATATTCTTAGAAAAACTTTATTAAAAAAATTATTTTTCATTCAGTTTAGTGCGTGGTGTGATTAATTTGTGTGATAATTATACCCGCAAAAAATTTAGCTAGCGTTAACATTTTTTTTTTGATTTTTTGCACAAACTTTTGTTCTAAGTCTTTTTTGCCAATTAAGCGCTAAAAGAAGCTGCTAAAAATAGTTTTCGCTATAGTATTTCAAAATTTTTTTTAACTAAGCGCCTTATTTTTATATAACGAACGTTACTCTATATCGCTTCACAAGATCAAAGTTAGACAAAAAATTTTAAAAATTCCTAGCAAGTTTAGCCGAGACAGGGACAACTATTTTTGTTGGTTTTTTTAAAGTTGGTTTTTTTTCTAAATCACGACTGAAAAAGCTTTAATGAAATTTTCCAAAATATTTAAATCATTTTTCGGTCTAAAGATCTGTTATTTTTTCGGGAAAAGCCTTTGAGTTAGGTGATTTATTATTAGACTGAGTAGTATTAAACTCAAATGACATTGAAATGGAGAACAATAATTAGTTGGTGAGTCAGAAACTGTCTGATTGAGACTGATAATTTATATCACTTTTTCTCAACACTGAGAGAATTTTTGTATTTTTCTGTAAATACGAATCACGACGAATATGGCTATATTTGCATGACTGGTAGTTTTTCTTGAGGTAGTCAACATCAGCTGGAACAAAGTTCAAATTGACCTACGCCATAGTGCTTCCCATTCTTTGAATATGGTCAGAACAATAGTATTTAGAATTTTTCAAAAAAAAATTGGACATTGTATTAAAGAAAAGTTCAAATTGTTTTTATAAAGTACAATTTGCAATATTCAGTGTTCCAAGTGTGAGCTAGGTGTATTATTTTCTATTCAGAACTATTTTCTATTTTGTAGCTGCTTTCTTGGGCAAATTTGATTTCAGTCGGAAAGTGTTCGGATTCGACCCCCTCCCGACCCAAAGGGTCCCCTATTTTGAGATATCCATTGTTGGCTGAATGACCTTAAACTTTTTCTAAATATACTAAATTTGAGGGGGGATCGCGCTCCAAAAAACCGCGATTTTTTGGTCAAAATTTTCCAACCTCAGGCAAAAAAAAAATTTAAGTTAGGAATTGTCTTTTTCTGAACTTTGAGTTTTGCCTCCAACTGTTTTGTTGCCAGTTTTTTTTTCAGCGCCAAAAGCAATTTGCAACCTTGAAATGCCAGATAGGAGACCGAATGATTGGAATATAGCATTTGGAATCGGTCGGTTGATTTTGGGCTTTCAAATTGACGGGCTTAGCTCGGTCTTAAAAGCATTAAACTCTGAATGGGCTCTCCAGGATATGTTACGTACGTCCATGTGACAGTTTTATGTGAAAACAGACCGCAAAACATCATTAGTCAGAGGAAGTAATCGATTAAATATATTCTGACTAGAAGCGAAACTAGCAGTTGGTTACGTAAATGCTAATGTCCTTCGGAGAATCAAACAGCGTTGCTTCATGGTAAATTTGATCTCCTTTTTTTCTTCTGACAAAAATTGTTTGGAATCGTTTGCAGCCTGGCTAATTATGAAAGAAGAATACCAATTTAATTTGCAACTTACCATCTTGGAAAAGAAAGCAGGGAAGCAAGCACCGGGTGTGGGTGCTGGTAAAGGCACCGCATAGGTACCCGGGGGTATTTGCTGGACTGCGGTTTGAAAAATAGATTGGACTCTGTGATCGATTATGCGACCAAAAAGAAAAAGAGAGTCAATTTTTCCGCTATTCTGTCAGTTCAGTCTTTGTTCACACACGCGTGATCAGAGTTACCCTACCAGTTACCCCTTTAATCTCTCTAAGAGTTACTCAACATTATAAGACGATCTATCATTCCAGTCGTTTTTACAAATCATTGCTCCCGTCCATCACCCGGCTAAACTCAGTCCCCCGACCCCTCTATAGCCCCCAGTATCAGATAACGGCGGGGCACCGTTTTCAAAGTAGCTGGACCTAGATCAATTTGATGAAAAGTGACTGGGATTGATTAAAAAGAAGTGATTTGCGAAATGGCGTCCAAATTAAGGCACAGGTAGCTCAACTTTCTGGCCGATTCAATATCAACTTCTCAAATTTCAATTTTCAAACTCCCATTATTTTCCCCCCACTTTCACTTTAGGAAATTGATGAATGGTTCATCTTTTTTCATCAACTTTACCACGTTTGCCATTTTGACTCGCTTTCATTTAATTTATTCAAATTTGCACCAAATTAAAAGTGACAAAAAAATCTCTTTTCATAAAAACTTCAGCTGAAATTCATCTTCTAAACTAATCCCACCTTATATGAATGAGGAGTCTTTTCAGCACCTAATTGAAAACCTTGTCTTTTCTAAGTCACTCGCTGCTTTCAAAAGTGGCACTCCAACCAGGGAAAATAACTCAAATCTCTTCAGAAAAATCTTGCCTATTATTACTTCTCGTGTTCTACCTACTTTACCAATTTAGCTAAAAACCACGCGTCTCATTATCCCTATTTTCCCTTTCAATTTAATACCATGACCCATCTGTAACTTTTCCCATCCGGATATCAGTTTAGATCCCGCCTATTCTGAATTTCCACTAATATACAAACCCTGGCTGGGGCCTGCCTTTGTTTGCAATTCCACAACAGCAGTTGAGGGCTAGTTTGGTTTGGTTCCTATTCTACTAATACTGTATAAGTTGACTTGTTGCCCAAATTCCAGGTCCCATTGGGACTACTTGGGGATAAGGCCACTTGTGTTAATATTCTTTCATCAAACCCATCTCCAGTTCCATCTCAGCCTCACTGGCCACCGGTAAGTGATGACGCAACTTCAAAACAAATTCACACACCCCGAACTTCTTCAAATAGCAGGCTTGTCTTTAATCGGCCAGCTCCAGTGAAAACATCTTTCATTCAATTAAGTTAGCCTAAAACGGTTCAAACATTCGAATAAGGCAACGAATGATATCAAGCATCAGACGTCGTGATATGATACCGCTCCGAATATTTTGCGTTTTTCCATTATCATAATATCATTTAATGCAAATTTTTGTTGATTTATTCATTCAATTGTTATTTTAAAAGCTAATTTTTTCCCTTGAAATTTGTATATATTTTTTTCTTTTCGGTCATTTGGAATTTCGGGTATATTTTCTGATATAAGAGTAATTCAAAATTCCTCATCAAACAGAAGATGCTAGATTGAAGTGGGACCAGGTTAGAATTAAGAGGCAATCATCATAAACCTTTCAGACCAAGGGCAATCAGTCTAATCTTGCGTGGTTCTTTTGATCTCTGGTACAGTTTTAGCCGTCTTAATTTTCACCCATTATTAACTGGTCCTTCAAGCAAGGCCAACTTTAAAAGCGATTAAAAACTGAAGATTTACTGCTCGATAAGAACAAAAAGTTCACTTTACTCTTTGAATCAATCAAATCAGATTTTTGTGCTTTTCATTTCTGTCAACAGAACTAAACAGTAGCTCTACTTAACTAAGCAGAAATAAATTCAAGGTAAGCAACATTCCGCTCGCGCAATCGGCCTATTTCTTACAATTTTGTAAATCGAAAATAGAAAAACTGGTTTATTTCGTAATAATAATTGAAATAAGAATTACTAGAAAAAAAATGTAATCTGTTTGTGAAATTGATGTAAAAACTTAATTGTTTTTCGTGTCGCTTAACTTTGAAACAAAATTTAACTTATGTTTTATTGTTACGACCACTCTCGTAGCGTGAAAAATAACTATGGTGCTGAGTTTCTTTCGCGCGATTTAGGTACCTCAAACAACATTCTTAGAGTCTCAAGTTTAATATCTCATAAAGCCGTTTAACTTGTTTTTATGATTCCAACAAGATGTTTAAAAATATATCTTTTTCAAGACCACGGATTTTTGCTGTTCCGACTTTTTCGCCGATTTTGTATAAATTTTGTTGCAACAATTTGTGTCACAGTTTAATGAGTAAACTTAGAGTTGCAGTTTAATAGTTTTTTTTGTTTATTGGCTTATTTTATTGAAACGCTTTTTTGTAATCTATAACTTGGTATATTAATAATTTTTCGGGTAAAAATACAATTCGTAACAAGCGACGGCTCGTAACAGGCGACAGTTCGTAACAAGGCATTGTCAATTAGAATACGCTTGCTCCGTTTTGCTCCGCTGCTCGTACAACCGGCACGAGAGGAATACTACGCGTGAATCAGTGTTCCACGCCTAATCTTCTGTTACGAAATGTCGCTTGTTGTGAATTGTCGCCTGTTACGAACTGTCGCCTCACATTTTCAAGTTTTAGTGATAAAACTTTTTTAAATGTATATCAAATTAATCGTCAGATTTCAGAATGATTTTTTTTTTCAATTTAAATTTTTGTTTCGATTCGTATATAACTTGCATCATCTGACTTTGTCGCAAACAACTCAATTCTATTATCGACACCAAATTTTTTGGCTTAGTGAAATCTAACAAAATAATCGAAAAAAGTGAAAATTTTGAAAGTTTTTATTGAGATAATTTTTCTTAGTTTTATTCTGCCACTCCGAAAAAGCTATGTAAAGTGCCATGTTATCTATTTTGCGCGAGATAATGTATTGTTAGGATGGTTTTGCTTGCCTCAATTCAATTTGAAAGCATTCAGTTTGCAGATTACACTTAAATGGAACGAAATATATTGTGTATTATCTATCCCAATTCGAAATATAGTAATCAATTTAGCCTCAAAATTGAACCTTTAAAGCTTTGTAGAAAATTTATCATAGTTTAAAAACTTTTTTTAATATCTGAAACAACACTGTTTTCATACGGTATTTTAGAAAAAATCTGACAAAAAGGCATTAGGTAAAAAGTCAAAAATTAACCGAATAAAAATACCACCTCGAGCATAATTGTTCCGCATTTTCTTCGAGAGTCGAAACAATAACTAATTCATTTCATCAAAAAACTTTTGAGATCTTTTACCGATTTCAAAGAAAGTGACGGAATATTTGTGCTCGGGGTGGGCATTTTCTCTAGGTAAATTTTGAATTTTTAAACAGCCTTTTTTGACAGTAGGTTTAATTATTTTATCAGAAAAAATGTGATCTCCTGAAATCAAATCCAAAAAAAAATGTTTCATCTGTGATTGTTTTTTTTGTCAAATTATGGGGGCTTAAAGATTTGCAAATCTGGCAAACTCGGGAGAAAATTCGTTAAATTTCGTGCTATTAACGCGTAAACGGAGATTTAATTATCCCTAGAAATCGTTCAAAATTGAACTTGAGACATGCAATTGGGTCTATATATACCATTTTGCTCTATGCGAAATATATCCCTGTGTGCTTTACATAGCGTGTGGAGATGGTTATAAAAAAAATTTTTTTTCAATTGAGGAGGTATTTTTATTCCAAGAGGTATGCTCGAGGTGGTATTTTTATTCGGTTAATTTTTGACTTTTTACCTAAGTTCTTTTGACAGATTTTTTCTAAAATACCGTATGAAAAAAGTGTTGTTTCAGATATTAAAAAAAGTTTTTAAACTATGATAAATTTTCTACAAAGCTTTAAAGCTTTAAAGGTTCAATTTTTTCCTGCTATGATTGTTTGCGCGATTATGTTTGCACGACTTTTGGGCTTTATATTTTGAAAATTCGTTCTGATTTTGATCCAGGGTTTCTTCGTTTAGTTAAAGGTGTTTATAAATGTGAGTCTCTTCGATTTTGAATTGAACTTGAGACATGCAATTGGGTCTATATACTATTTTGCTCTATGCGAAATATATCCCTGTGTGCTTTACATAGCGTGTGGGGATGGTTATAAAAAATAAACCTCAAAAAAAATTTCAACCTTAGTTTTTTGAAAATTAATAAGATTACTCCATAGAGATTAAAGAGCAGTTGGAACATTAAAGGCTTACCTTTGATACAAGCTGTTTTGTTAGAATATGTTTGCACGATTGTTTGCGCGATTATGTTTGCACGACTTTTGGGCTTTATATTTTGAAAATTTGTTCTGATTTTGATTCAGGGTTTCTTCGTTTAGTTAAAGGTGTTTATAAATGTGAGTCTCTTCGATTTTGAATTCAATAAGATCTGACACCCTAACTGTGATTGCTTTTTTGTTTTTTGTTTTTCATACTACACTTTTTTTGGTTGTCGGTCATTAAACACTGTCTATTTTAGTTAAAAGAATCCAAAGTCAAATTGTGGTGAGGTCGTGAGTTGTATTAAGGGTTCGAGTGTAAATCGACGCCGCTGGGTCGTTAAACACACTTCTAAAAGATAATTGAATTAAATTTTAGGAAAATTAAAAGTTAAGTAGATCCAAGGAAAATTTTCATGATCTTTATTACAATTAACTTATGTTTATATTAGATGAAGTTAAAGATCATGAAAAGGATTTAGATTAAGCTAAGAGCTGAACTTGGAAATAATAAAAAACATTAAAATTGACGTGTTTTGAATATTTAATTGCTGTTGCTGAGAAGTTCTATTAAAAAAAAAATTTTCCGCGGCATTGATTATGAAAAGTCAACTAGCCACAAAACATTTTCGTTTTGATTCCATTTTTTTTTCTCAAATTTTGGTTTTATAGATTTTGGCAACTAACTCCATAGGCCAAAATTGAATCTTAGTCTTGCTCATATTTCAGTAGATCTATAGTAATTTACTGCTTTTACTAAGTTATAAGTGCAAATAACGCAAATAAGTCTGTTGGTAGCTTAAGTTTGAAAACCGACTTTTTTATTAATAGATTAGCGCAGTAAAGTGGCTTGTACCACCTTTTGAGCAATGTCAAACAGCTTCACAAGAAATAATTCTCAGCGTCCATCTCTGAGCAAATTTTTAGCACCCAGAACTGAAACTGCCTAAGAACTTTCGGTTCAGGTTTTTCCAGGTACAAAAGTGTAACAAAAAAGATCGCACGTGACCTCATTGTTTTTCAATTTGAAACTTCCTATTTTAGTTTGACTAGCATTGAAAAACTCCGGAACAAGATTCACAGTTGTTTTAATACTCAATGCGTTTCCGAGTATTTGAGAATTTCACACTTAGTGCACTTGGGAGGACGTCAAAAGGTAGTGAGCATGTCAAGGACGCCTCAAGAGCAAAGAAAAATAAACAGTTTTTCTGCTTAACGTGTGCTTACTGAAAAAACGAACGGTTCCAACGCTTATTTAATTACGGTAAAATTTGAATCCACTTGTTTTCAAACATCACCAAAAAACTCATTTTGGAACTTGTTGTCTGTTAAGTATAGTTCTCGAAATTTGTGTATCGTTGATGTAACACTATACTTACTGTTTTGAATTTTTAATTGCTGTTGCTAGAAAAAAGGGAGGATCAAGTTAACAGCCTTCCCCGTGTCCAATTTAGATTAAATTTGCTTAATGCTGTCTGTATAATTGCGCTGCGTTATATTTTGTTTAAATGCCTAGCTTTAATTACGAAAAACTATCAAACATGACAACAATTCAAAACTTTTCCTATTTTTCTTCTAGTTGCTCTTAACTTGATTGAAGTAGTATCTTCTACTAATCGTAAACGTTTGCTTCAATTTTTTTTGGCTGAGACATTGTTCTTTTTATTCACTTGGTATTACGCTATTGATGATGGAGCAAGGATGTTTTTTTTCTAATTACTTTCATCGAGATTTCAGTCATTTCGTATTTTTAAGTTCCTGGCTTGAGTGTAATTTTTGATTATCTTAAATTTTTCTTGAGCCATCTGTTTATAAGTTAAAAAAGAATGCACATAAGCCATTTTGAAACCTTTCTAATTTTATCAATTTCATTTTATTTGCTAATCTATAGATTTTCATATTGCAATACCAGTTTCACAT